TGTGTGTGTGTGTGTGTGTGTGTGTGTGTGTGTGTGTGTGTGTTTGATTGAACTGCTGCATATTTGCCTGAATGGTGAGTCAGAGTTCAGACTTTTGTTTTCCTCCTTTTTTTTATTCATGCACATTTTTTTTGTGCTTTCTATTCTTTCTTGTATCAAAACATTCGGCTCATTCAAGAGATGAATGCTTCAGCTTTTTGTTTTTGTAATCTTTCTGTGTGCCAAAAAACTTACTTTATGTACATATTTTCCACATAGCAGTAAATTAAGAYCTCCTCAAGTTAAAAAAATTGTTTTATTTAAAATCTGCTTCAGATAACTTTTGGTCTTTTTGTGCCGTTACAATAGTAGCATACTTCTAATTAGTTTCTTACTAGCATTATTCTACTTTTAGCCAGTTTTGTGATGCTTTCAAATACTTTTTACTATTTTAAGCTAACCCTTTGCTACTTTAAATAGCAAGCTTTTTGTTACTTTTAGCTTTTAGTTCATCTTTTGTTGCTTATAGCTTCTAGCTCATTTTTTATATCTAATTTTTTAGTACCTTTAGCCAGCTTTTTGCTATTTTTTGCTGTTCTTTACCTTGGGATGCCCTCTTCTTTCAAAACTTTTAGCTTTAGTTAACTTTTTACATTTTAGCTATATTTTTGCATTTATAGCTGTTAACCATCCATTTGCTACATTTAGCTTTTAGTTAGCCTTCTAGTACTTTTAACTTCCAGCTAACTTTGTAGCTAAACTTCTTTTAATCTTTTGTAACATATAGCTTTAAAACATTTTTTAGCTAATTTTAGCCTTTAGCAAACCCTTTACTACATACTGAATTTGGTCACTCTTTTGGTATTTTTGGCTAACTTTTTGAAACATTTAGCTTGTGGCTAACCTTTTGAAACATTTTGGTACCTTTAGCTTTTAACTATTTATTTTTGGCATGTAATAAGCCCTTTGCTACTTTTAGATTTTAGCTAGTTTGGGTACATTTAGCCAGATTAGCATTTTGCCGTTTTAAGTTCTAGTAAGTCTTTTGCTATTTTCTATCTTTTAACCTGCCTTTTGCTACTTTCAGTTTCCAATCTAAGCTTTTGCTACTTTTAGCATGTAGTTATTTTTGATGCTTATAGCTAGCCTTTTGTTCTATCGTCCTCCATTTTTTGGCTAYTTTTAGCTTTTAACTAGCATGTTGTTCATTTGAGCTTTACGCTAGGCTTCTGCTTATTTAACAACAGAGTTTTGGGTTTTTCAGCAATTAGCATTCACATAGCATTTTTTGAGCTAGTTAGCTTAGCATGTTTCAGTGAGCATGCTAACATAAGATACACCGGCTGTGTTCAAAACGGCAGGACGGGTCCTCCGAAGGTCGAATTTGTCGGCTGCATACGTCACAGCGCCGCGACGAAG